CCTAAAGGATGCATTAATCACCACATGCAAGAACTAATAGTTGAATCTTTTTGCATGACGTTTGGTACCTAAAGGATGCATAAATCACTACATGCAAGAAAAGGATGCATAAATCACTACATGCAAGAACTAATAGTTGAAGCTTTTTGCATGACATTTGGTACCCAAAGGATGCATAAATCACTACATGCAAGAACTGATAGTTGAACCTTTTTACATGGCATTTGGTACCTAAAGGTTGCATAAATCATTACATGCAAGTACTGATAGTTGAACCTTTTTGCACCACATTCAATCTAAGACTCATTTCTTCTTTATCTCCAATGTTACATTTTCCAAAATTTTTCCCCCGGAAAAACCTTTGGATTGTGCTGTCAAATGAGGGTACATGTACACACTGTACATGTATACTTGTAGATAGGGAACATACAGCTCTTTTCTGCTTTGTAATGGTCAGGAATGGGAGTCCAGAAAGTGATTGAAGAAACTGTTGCAAAGTGGAAGCTATACATCCGTACACGCACATGTACTCATGTACCTATTCATGTACATGTACATTGTTCAGAGCATATGTCCATGATATGTTCATGTACAGTACATGTGTACATTGTTTATCATTGTGCCATTCAAGGCGCATGTTGAAAAATGTTTAGAATGTAGAAGAGGGGAGATGGTAGGCAAATGTGGTATTTTACACATTCTTGAATGGGAATTTGTTTCGGTAAACTTTTTAAAATGATTGTAGCATTTGTCATGATACATTTCTCGTAGTAATGATACTGTTTTTTTCCTTCATCTTTTACCGGTTCTTGTCCTCTAGTCTCTAATCAACTTGGCCTTCTGTTTCCTCATACTCTTGGGTCGCCTTCTGCAACACGTTGTGTTTGGACAACTCAGAGCCGGAGAGAGACAAGTAAGTTTTGTTTACCAATGCATCACTGGACAAGGCAATTTTGTTTGTGTATCTGTCTGTTTACTTTAAAATGCAGAAATGAAAAGTTACAAAGGAAAAAATATTGCCTACAAGAACAGGCACAGATACATGTAACTGTAAATGTTGTGACCTATCACCCCAAACCAGGCTGAAACAGGTAATTATGAGTATATGAAAAACATTGCCATTCATTGACAATCAGGGTTAAAGCCTCATGTAGATGTACAGCTTTCTTGATGACATGTACATGTATTTTGGACGTGTAGTATTTGTCATATTTTACAGTGATGACATGTGCATGGATGTATTTTGGATGTGTAGTATTTGTTATATTTTACAGTGATGACACGTACATGGATGTATTTTGGACATGTAGTATTTGTCATATTTTACAGTGATGACATGTACATGGATGTATTGTATGTATACATGTACCAGTACATGTACAAATACGGTACATGTACATGCTGCTGTGGTTACCATCCACAATCTGCATGTTTCCATAAATAGCTTCACGGATACAATTATCATTTTAAATTGCACTTCTGAATTAGTTGTCATTACTAATTGTTGCTTCAACATGTACTGCAATATTCATCCCCTATACAGATGCTGTACAGGTATACATGTACATGTACAGGTGCTCTACATGTACATGTTCATTTACATGTACAGGTGCTCTACATGTACATGTTCATTTACATGTACAGGTGCTCTACATGTACATGTTCATTTACATGTACAGGTGCTCTACATGTACATGTTCATTTACATGTACAGGTGCTCTACATGTACATGTTCATTTACATGTACAGGTGCTCTACATGTTCATTTACATGTACAGGTGCTCTACATGTTCATGTTCATTTACAGCATACATGTAGTATTGTATACGTACATGTACTTTATGACCCATGCAGTTTGTATGTGAATTTATTGCTACGGTAGTAGTGATGCATTTCATACATCAAATGCCCACCATATATTCATAATAGTGTATTTTAGTAAATATACATGTACGTGTACGCACTTCATTTCAGATCACAGCATCATTGGCTAATTTCTAGTCTGTGCATGAATTCAGTGGAAACACACTGAATAATACGGAGTATCAGATGTTGAAAAAAAACAATACTGATGGTATGAAATGCGAACCTCTCAGAGTTTGATGCTTTTTGTGCTCATTTGCATTGCTAATTTTTTGTTTACTAAGCAACCCAAATCATCCAAAATGAAATACATGTACATGTACCATACTTGGTTTGCGATGGTTTGGTTTTGTTTTAATTCCATTAGTTTTTCTTCACATTGTTGAATTTATGTAAATTCAGGAAGTTTCCTTGCAAATACCTTTACATGTACATGTACGTCATGTTTACATGAACCGTACTTGTTGCATTGTCCGCTTAAAATGTCTAGAACTTGTGTTACATCTAGAACACCTTAAGCCAAAGACATGTACATGTATGTCGAGTCAACGTTTGTGACTTGGACTCAGGTTCACATTAGACATGTTAGATCTTCCGAACATCTACATGTAGGACCAATCTTTGGTATCAGTACGAATGGGCACTTAACAATTTGGTCATAGCAATTGGTTCATAGACTCAAGGTTGGAGATTTCATTCAACAAGTTCAATTTTTTCACATTTACCTATAGTGCATTGAAGTACACATCAGCAGTCTACTTGAACATGTACACAAGCTCTTATTACAAATGGTCTTTATTCCCGGTTCTACCCGTACAGCACATGCGCGACAAACTGTGGAAGTTCATCTTCTATAAGTTCATCATCATCTTTGGCGTGTTGAACGTGCAAACATTGGAAGAGATGGTGATGTGGATGGCTTGGTTTGGCACCCTCGCTTTCCTGCACACACTTTCCAGTCTCTGTAAAGACCGCTTTGAATATGTGAGTACAATTGTACTTCATGAATTATTGGCCGGTCACATTCATTAATCAGTGACAAAGGAATGCCTTTGATACGATTGACTTTATGAATTGTGAAGAAGTTGTGATGATTTGCTAAGTTGAGAGCAATAACAACTTAACTTCATACCATGGACCTTTTTCAGCGGAAAAAGATGCTGAGTTAATGCTCATGTACTAGCTAAGCCAGAAATCATTTGAAAGCCAATCAGGTACATTAGCCTTTGAGATGACATTTAATTCAGTTACTGTAAGTGCCTGCATTTGCTAAGCAAAAGTTTTAATTCACTCAGTGAATGTATCTGTGGCAGCTTCAGCAGACTAGGATCTGATGACCCTCTTATGGATGAGCTTCTCAGCTTATTGTTCAGCAGGCATTGCTTAGTACTTCTTCTTTCCTTCTCTTGATTTACACTGAAACTATGAACTACCCATACATGTACATCTGAAGTAGTTCATTGTCATACCCTATCCTTTGAATGTTTATTACTTTAGCTATCCTTTTCCCCATCATCTCTGAGTTGGGCCCATGGTAAGGTCTTACTTCTATTGGTGGCTATTGTGGGCCTCTGCAAGGGGTTGATACTACTAAGTTGCTACATGGGAGCCATACAAGACTGGAATGTTTTCTTCTTTACAGTGTCTGAGGTAAATGCTATTTCACTTTGACCCTTCCTCAATGAGATTATGTAAACAGTGTCCTCACCTTTTGTCTGCTGGTACAGACATTTTTGTCATGGCAAAATGGATTTAACGGAACTGATTATGAAATGAATTTTTGTTAAACTCATTCAGTATTCTTCTTTGTTTAATCAAAGGTCATTCTCCTGGAGTTAAGGACCATATATGTCCTGATCAGGTAAATTTTTACACATAAATTTGTCACAGTTTCAATGTCATGTTTCCTTCGATTTTAAATCTGCGAACAAAGAACCATATGTACATGTACATGTACTTAGCTGCTTGGTTAGAAGTCCAGTTTTGAAGCAGTGCTTATAACCAGTAATAATTGTCCATGACTAAAAAGTTTGCCTTGATGAAGGCCTTTATTTACTGATGCATAAATGTAAGTGTATTTGCAGCTGAAATATGTGTTTTACCATCACCACACAGTTCTTTTAACAATATTTGATTGACTACAAACATCTATCAAAAGAAACACTGTGCATTAACAGTGAGCGTCCATTATTGTTGCACTGTGCTTCTATTGTTACATGTCGATGTTCATAGTTATTGTGGCTGTGAATAAAGTGCGAGTGAATGGTGATGAAGTCAGCCTCGTTGTAGTCTTGCAAAGTTGCAGGTTCCACATATATTATTTAGAGTATTTACAGTATGAGCGCAGGTGTATATGTGTTACAGAAGGTTCAGTTCATTAGCTGTGAGAACATGTCTTCTCACTGGTAGGTACCTGCAATTGCCATTGGGAATGCAGTAAAGGTTTTGTGCATCTACCTTACATGTGTATGTTGAAAACACTTTCAGTGCTAGATAATAAAGCAGGTCATGAATACAGAGCGACTGGTGTGCCCTGAGGCTGTGCAGAGAGAACATTTTATCTGAATGTAATCCCAATAGCACTGGTGAATTTAATGTACAGGCTGATGCCACGTTGGCTACTTAATGTTACTACACACTGGTTGAGTCTTCAAACTGATTATAACTGGTAAACTATCATCCTTGTGCATGAGTAACTCTCATTGTCTTCTTGAACTATTGCTTACAAATTTTTAACATTATTTTTCACAATTTGACAAATTATTGAGAAGACATTAGCCTTGTGTATATGCAATAAACATTCCATGGGTATGGACTGCATAATTGGTTGAACAGCTAATACATGTATGAAGCTAATACATGTATGTAAAACTCAAATTCATTCAATTTTGTTTGCTCAATTGCATTTAAATTAAATTTGAAATATTACTATTAAAAACCAAAGTATGCAGATTGATGTACATGTAGCTGTCATTGCTCTGTCTGCTTCGAGCAGAAGCATGCCCTCATTAGTTGGAAAGAGCCATGCTGGTCGGGAGTGTTCATTTTGTTGGTAACACCACGACCATGACACATTACTTTCCTAGTCATTTTGAACTAGCAAAGTTCAGTTCCAACCAAAGGAGCCTCTGTTTCTAAGAAAAGATCACCTTGTCTTTGGCATGCTCGAGGCCAATTCCCACTTGGAATCTGTAAAACCAGACTTGTTCTTTATTGGCAGGTACTGGATCCATTTTTATGATCTGCGTCATGAAGGAGTGTGGGAGAGACGAGGAAGTATCATGTACTACTCAGATCTCGTCATTGAGCTCCTTGCACTCAGTGTGGATTTTGTACATCACTTCCACATGCTGGTGGGTACCAGGCACAGCTTTCATACAAGTACATAGTATGTAGTCTGAACACCAACTTTATCATTGGATTGGAAGAGATTTGTGGGTTTTTCGTTTTTTAGTTTGTAAAGATGCGTGCGACTTGCACATGGAACATGAAATCTTAATTATGCAAGCTAAGTGGTTACTTTGCCTTTGTCTAAAGTTCCATTGACTGATCTTGTTTGATCTTTTGTTATTGCATTCAGCTGTGGGGTAATGTGTTCCTTAGCATGGCTAGTCTGGTGATTTGCATGGAGCTTCGATATCTGTATAATGAGATACAACGACGTGTTAAACGTCATCGCAACTATAGACGAGTAAGTATTCAAAGACTGTTGTGTAGCAGAGCATTTCAGACCTTTCCAAGTATTTGGTCAGGACACTTTGTCCCCAGCTCTTAATTTTGATGAAAGTGTTGCGGTTTCCCAGAAGGAAAAGATGCAGATGTGAGCATTAATGAGAATTATAAAACAAGGTTCAACCACAAATGACATTTAGTTTATTTTAGTTTTGACACAAGTGAAATTGTTTTTGGTTTGCATATGATATTCCAAAAGAATCATTTAAATTCAATGATGTGCCTGGATGCTAAATCAAATTCTGCTCAGGACTTTGTTAGTAGCATATTTTGTGAATGACTTAGATCAAAGACTTATTGCCAGACATTGCTGATAAAAACTCATTTAACCTGTCATGATTGTTAGGTTGTGCAAAACATGCAGGCTAACTTCCCCTTAGCCACAGAGGCTGAGTTATTGGAGAATAACGATGACTGTGCCATTTGTTGGGAAGAGATGAAATCAGCTCGTAAGCTGCCGTGTAACCATTTCTTCCACAAGTAAGCAAAGTACCATTTCATTCTTGAATGTACAAAGTGAATATTTTGAAATGTTTACTTTAGAGTTCACCAGTGACCAATATTTATAAAGTAACTGATTGATTGGTTTAAAACCGTTGTATTCTGAGCATGGTTCAGCCTGTTAGTTGAAAAACCAACAACTTGTAATTTACATTCACTTGAGAATTTTTTGGTTTATCAGGAAGAGCTCCAAGTAGAGTTTACTTGTACTTGTAGGTGCATCAGCTGGTAGTAGGTGAAATAAGGTTTCCTCATGGGAGCTTCTTTGTTATGTTTACTCAGCGCCTGTTTGCGATCCTGGCTGGAGCATGAAACATCCTGTCCAACCTGTCGATATGCCCTCAACATCAGAAACAATGAGGCAGCTCGTCACACCCCTGCACCCCAAGATCCAAGAATGGGTGCAGGTTTGATGGAAGGAGACACTGTAGAAGGACAAGCTCAACCTGTCAGGCCTAGAAGGGGAAGGGGACACTTCTTCCACTTTGATGGTGAGAATGTCACATTGGCAGATCTCAATTTCACTGATTTTAATATTTGAGAAGCCTAGTGAAACAAGTTCTAAAAATATCTGTCTTCATTGAATGTATACTTTTTGTTGAAGAAGACAGCTAGTATCTTATTAATATGGATGGCTTTGTCTTGGATGATGCAGGTTCTCGGATTGCTAGCTGGATTCCAAGTTTCTCTGTGGAAGTCTCCCATCGACATCTCGTGCAGCGCAGAGACATGATTCATACATCCCAACTCAATAACATGGTTCGTATAGACTAAGTTCTAAAGAAACAGCAGAGAACATGACCGCTACACTCACACATGGAACTAACAAAAGGTCACTACAAGTAGTTCATACATGTAAGTTGGAAAACCAAATGAACATTTGAAGAGATAAATGACATTGTTCTCGAAACAAACAGTTTAGTTTCACCATATCAATTCTCAAATCTTTAACACTCCAGATTCTTTGAAATTCCACTTTCACATATTAACCACTTCATGCCGGGGCATTTTTCAATGTTGATGATGCTGGGCCGGCATGACTATCATTTTTTCCGTTTTCAAAATCCTTCAAAAATGTGTCATTTCATTTAATGGTCGTTTATAGCTGCACGAAGTAATCTTTAGGCACTACTCTAAGTTGACAGGTGACCTTCATTGACGCCCGAGTATTTCAGCCAGGCCTGCAGCCTTGTAAACAGAGCTCAGATTGTGCGATGTTGTATAACTGTCTTTTTGTTCACGAACCTGGCTCAGTGCACTGCTGACCTCTTTTCAATAGGGGTCAGATTTGCGTGCAGCGGTGCTGTGTGGCTCATCGCTGTGATGGTGGAGCGCTTTTGTCCGCGGTGGTAATCTGTTCGCTCTCAATGCCCCAACCCTGGTATATGGTTTCAAAACAAGGCTGGATTATTACCACTTTTGAGAGTGAAAAAGTCGGTAATGCCCAGCAGCCTGGTCTTTTGTTCAGAGTACGGTCTTTTGTTACAGGGCCCTGTTTCCTTTGTCCGATTTCGGATACCCTGGTCACGCATATAAACCATACGTCTCCGATTCCGGAGTCCCCAGTAGGAAGTGGTTAAAATATCAAGACAAAGTTGTTATCTGAAATACTATGTACTTAGGAAGGATTTGACTTGATCAACCTTTGTATGGATGTTTCATAGGCAACTCAAGTACAGCAGATGTTCCCCAACTATCCTGTACCTGTCCTGATTGAAGACTTGAGAGTGACACGGTCTATGGAGGTCACAGTAGATAACATCTTGGAGGGTAGATTGGTTGCACCACCTGTAAGCTCAACAGTATTTTACCATATTCTCCAATTTGGATTGCCAATTTAAACGTTATTGTGGAGAAAGCTAGTACATATAAATCTATGCTGTGCTATAAATTCTTGAAAAGTTAAATGTCATGCAGTCCTCATGATCATAGGCTTAAAATTTGAGTTTTTGTAAAGAAATCTGAAAACCATAACGTAATGTTGAGTATTTAAGAATTTTTGGGTGGGGAGCCTTTCTGTTATAAAATAATTGGAACTATTTATTGATAGGGAAATGAGGTCTAACATGTCAATTTGATCGCATAACATCTGCAGGAGTCCGGAGGCACAGACAACCCACCAACACCCACCCCCTCTACTGGGCAAACCCCTCCCCCTTCTGCAGACCCCTCACCTAGCAATGACCTAGACACCACACCTGCAATGTATGACGTACCTGCAACAACTATAACAGAGAGTGTACGACAACTTGGGCTGACAGCTAGAGGGATGGAAAGGGTTTGGCAGGGGGGTGGGGATTCCAATTACCAGCAAAGTAGGGGGATGTTATCTGAAGACAGAGATGCAGGGAGGGAAACAGAATTGGATGCGTCTACCAGGTATCTGCTTAATTTGTTTCGAATTTTCATAAAAAAATATTAATCAAATACAAAACAAAAACTCATCTTAATGTTTAATGGCTTGTCAAGAAAACCGGGTGCAATTAGCCCCATTAACATAAGCAGGATTCGTGTGCAAGTGTACCCTGCTAACAGTGCCAAGCATTGCTAACTGTTTTGCCAATATTGTTTTTCAAGACAAAATGTAAACAGGTAAGAACAAAACCCCAGATTAATCACATTCAAAACATCAGACAGGAAATGAAAAACAAATCTGCGTTTCAGCCTGGATGGAATTCAAACCTACGTCAGAAAGATTGTAGGTAAAGAATGTATGACTGTACCAACCCTTACCTCCTTCCATTCATTTCCTATCAGTGTTGCAGAGGACAACAGACCCTCAGCTTTGGGTGATGGGCCTCAAGCTTTACCAGCAAGATTCTCCAAATCATCAGCAGAAAGGGAAAATAGTCTCAAACAGAGAAAGGAGCTGCTACTTCAGCAGGCTAGGAAGTATGGAAAGCCTCATGGATTAATATTGACCCAGTCTTATTTTTGTCTGTGTCCCAGATAAATGATTTTCTGCAAGGTTTCTATTAAAAATGACTGACCAGACTCCCCGTAATTATATCATAATATCTATTCTCCTCAGGCGATTCCAAAATCGTCAGGCACATTCCCAGAATGCAACTGCCACCACCACCAGTGCTTCCATGGCAGCAGCCACCCAATCATCTCCCGGCTCAGGTACCACATGGTCACAGTCAGCCAACCAGAACCCATCATCTAGGGATAGTTTTGGAGCGCCCTCAAGTGAGGAGGAAGAGAGAACCAGAAGAAGAGCTGTAGCATATGAGGCAGCAATACGGAGAATGGCACAGCAACAGTAAAAAATATAACAATTATATCATTGCACGTTTATCGATACGTCATTTGATTGAGATTGTTGCTTTTACATTTCAACGGAGCTTCTCTTACATTTATCATGGGTTTTGGAATTCTTTCATTTTTTGTTTAATTTAAGCTTTGTGTTTTGCATGCATTTGAGGTAATGATATATAAGAGGTGAAAAGTACTTCAAAGATTTTTGCAAAAATTGAAACAAGGTAGGCTGATAAGTAAAAAAAGTACAAATATAACCATGGCAACAGGAGAGCACTAAAACAGATAATTTGATTGTTCTTAATATGAGCAATTACAAGCCACATACAACAGAATTTGAACGTGCAGCTTGGCCAATAAGAGCGTAGTGTTATGTGCTACATACATTCAGTATCATAGAAACTCAACGCTGTCTTTACATTGTCATTTAAAGAGAGTTTTCATATTTCATTTCATGTAAAAACCTGTGTACTATAGCCTCATATAATGCCTAAAAAGTGCTCTATTGTGTATCTCTTGAAGGTGCTACAAATTGGAGAAATGTTTGTCTATGGCCCAAACTGAGAGCAAATTACCTCAAAAACTAAAAGGATGAAACTTTTTGATATGAATTATGTTGTGCCTTTTGAGAAGGAAAACTACATGACGAATGATTTTTGAATTCATATTTTTGTATGCAGTGTGAGTCATACAGTTTCTCTTGAGTTACAGAGTTGAGTTTTTCCCTAGCAACCATGTACATCCTCAGACCAATTAACGTTAGGAAGCAGAATATGAAATAATTGTTTTCAAAAAATTCGGATTGGATCACGTTTTACTCATCAGAGGATTAAAAAGTTGGAAAGTACTTGCATAATTACATGGAATGATGAGTCAATTGAAAGAAGTTAGGAAATGTAACTATTTCCATTAATTCCTTGAAATATCCCATTTTTTCTCCAGTTTCCCCCTACTGTGTGGGGGTAATATTTGACATTTTCAAACGTCCATTTCAGCAAACTTTTACAAGATTAATTTTCGACTTAAAATCCTCATTCAGAATGCTGGAACATCTACTTTTGTTTTGGATGTAAAATGAAATACTATAGATGTGATCTTTTGTGTGCATATTTTGTTCTTTAATGTCAATTTCTTTTATAAGAGAAAGGGATTTTCTTAGAGGTATAATGTATCATGTGATAAAAAATAATGAAAATGTTTTGCATTTGATGTAAGAGATACATATGTCTTTGCTACAAAAATATGTTTAACTTCTTTTTCTCATGTTCATAATAATTTGGAAATGTCTGTGGCGTAATTTAGGATGTTTCATTTTATCAAAATTTGATGGGTAGACTCACTTTAATAATATAGTGGCTATAAGGAAAGGGTAGTACATGTACATAGTCCGGTGCATCACAAAACTTATAGATCTTCTATTTTTCCCAGTGCGAATTATTACACACAAACCAACTGGGGCCTTGTTTTGCTCGGTGTTGATATGTCAAAGTGTGATGTAAACTGATTGTCATGTGCAGAAATTGAACAGGGTATTGAGACCTATGAGCCAGGAGAACATCCGTAATGTTGATGGTATCAGCAGGGTTGCCAAGAGGACATCCAGGACATTTATGGCATCAGTGAACAGGCGAAGAGGATACCAATGATGCCAATGGCATCAGTAAAGTGGCTGAGAGGACACCCGTGGTGTTGATGGCATCAACAAACTGGCCAAGTGAGAGGACATCAATGGTGTTGATGGCGTCAACAAACTGGCCAAGTGAGTGGACATCTATGGTGTTGATGGCATCAACAAACTGGCCAAGTGAGAGGACATCTATGGTGTTGATGGCATCAACAAACTGGCTGAGAGGACACCC